TATTGAACAAGACCGGCCCCAAAACTGAGCCCTGGGGAACACCGCTCGTGACCGGCCGCCAACTGGATTGAACTCCATTCACCACAACTCTCTGGGCCCGGCCGTCCAGCCAGTTTTTGACCCAGCGCAGAGTACACCTGTCTAAGCCGTGAGCCGCCAGCTTCTCTAGGAGAATGCTGTGGGAGACGGTGTCAAAGGCTTTACTGAAGTCCAGGTAGACCACATCCACAGCCTTTCCCTCATCCACTAGGCGGGTCCTATCAGACCAAACTAAAGCTTAGCCCTTGTTTTATATGCAAGCTTTTTAACATGAAACAGAGATGCTTATGATAGCAGAAAACATGATTAGCTCTGGACAGGATAGTATTTGGAGAGAGAGACAGGGACACCATGTAAGCAGAGTTTCAGATAGGTTAGGGAATGGAGGTCAGGAAGTAAAGAACAACCTTTGTGAGAGTGGAAGACGCCTAATTATTCACAAGGACTGAGGTGAGAGTCTGGTATCTCACAAACAAGCCCTATCAACTGGGAATATCTGCCTGACTTGTAAAGGAGATGGGACTGAGACATGCGCACGCATATCTGCACTAGGGGACTACCAATACGAATAAAGACATATAAGAGTTCAGTGCAGGTCAACAAGTGGCACACGTGCCACGAAGTACATGCCTAGCTCTCTTCGCTGCAAGTTAGATTTAAGTGATATAACTGTGAACTGTATTTCAGGAAGTCTTTCAGCTACAGGTGGTTGGAAGCCGAGTTAATACCGGGGGAAAGTATCACACATGCCCGTGTTATTCCTGTTACTCCTCCCTAAACATAAACCTGGCCAAAACCAGGAGACAGGATACTGGGCTTGATGAGCCTTTGTATAGTATTCTTATCCAAGCCGCAATAAAACCCTTGAATACAATACAGGCAGAGTGAACAGTTTGCTGCATTTCAAGATATTTGGATACTTGGGACTACCTCATAAGTACTTGGATGGCTACACTACAGAACTGGAACCTGGAAGCAGACAGATGACTTCAAGACTGTGGCTGGATTTTAGGCTGCATGCTAGTTATTAGAAATAAGGGTGGAACCATGAGAACTAAGTGGAGAAATAGTGTGCTGATGACTCAAGTATAGCTGTGGTCATGCACAGTAATGGTTTGTTTCCTTGCTTTAAGTTGCTGGTACCAGTGGATTTAATGAGAATTTTCGTGTTAAAATACTACATGGAGCTACTTTAATAAGCTTGGTATTGTTCTGTGTGACAGGTGTGGGTATTCTGATGATGTTGCTGGGAATCTGTGAATTAGCATGCCCTTAGTTCCCATTTAGGTTAAGGGATTTGACCAGATCAGTTGAACTTCAAGATACTGAGCACCAGGAATGCTTACTTTCGTCGATGTTATAACATGGTAGTTGAAACCCTTACTGCCAAGGTCAAAACACTCACCCAATTGCGTGCCAGATCCAAAATGCTTTGTCTTGTCACTCCTGGAAGGATGATGCCATCTAAAGGTGGGGTTGCCAATTCATTTTCTGTCAAACACAAAAGAAATAGAAACACTGGCTGAAAAACAAAGAAACAAAAATAATGTTTACCAATATTACACCAAACATGAAAATTAAAAAGAAGTCGAATGACATCAGAAATGTTCCCTACCCAGTAAGATGCAACATTTATCAGAGTTCTATAAGAACACAAGTTACACAAATTCAATTCCAGTAAGTTGTTATTGTTTGGAACCTTTTGAGTACACTTCAGCGGGTGGGGAAGAAACATATTTAATACATTAATAAATACATGGCTAAATCCTAGTAGTAGGTTTTATTCCTCAGTGTATTATGGATTCACTGTATAACTACTGGGAACCATTGAATGGCTCAGTCTTCAAATTAAGACTAGAGAGGCACAAGGGAAAGCCATGCCTAATAATCTCAGGGCAGATCATGACTTTCCCTGAACTGCTTTACTTAATTTAGGAATACGGGGTTCAGTATACCTACTTCATAGCATTAATATGAAGCATCTACCAGAAATTTTGAGGCCCATTTACTGAACAAGCAAAGCAGTGGAAACTTTACCAAATGCGTCTTGAGAGGAGACTTCCTTAATGATCTTTTGTCTTAGTCTAGACACCCTTTTTTCCCCCTAATTTTTTCTTTACACAAAAAGAGCAGTCCTAATAAAATTGCAAAAGCACCAACAATTCATATTGTTCAACTAGTTTGGTTTGTTAGCTGGTTTTTCTTGTTTGCTTTTGGAAAAGAACATTAGATAAATGTTCATCTAACATAATTAATGAAACGGTAGATAAATGGTAATCCATACTTGGTAAATACTTAAATTGCAATACAAAAGTTTGTATGTAGTCTTTGTTCTTCCATCTGAAATTTGCAGCAAATCAGAGTTAGTATTTTTCATTTTAAACCATCACTTTTATTTTAAACCATCACATGGCATACTCAGTGGTTTCTATTATCAGAGAATACCGAGCATTTACTCTTTCAGACAGCCAGGCTCTTTTAAGACAGTCTCAAATCTGCACTGAGAAGTGAAGACATGCACAGTCTTTCAGTAATACTCGTCATAATTTTTTTTCTAACCACTTTCTCTTCTCAATAAGAATCCATTATCTTTCTTGATCTTATAAGGATACTATCCTGCTTCTTAAATCCACAAACCATTAAGGTTATTGATTCATTTTTACCTAGGTCACATAAAAGAACAAGATATATTATGCCCCCTTCTCCCTACCCGCAAAAGATCACTGAATCCAGGCCTGTTTGAACCAGTCTCAAAGGAGAAGCTGTCTTAAAAATGTTTATATAGGTCCTGTGAAAACTTGCAGCTGAGCAGAAGAGAGAAACACAGTATTTGTCCTTGGACTGAGAGAGCAGGTTGAGCTCAGCTGCTTAATACTCTGTTTTCAGCTGTCAGCTAGATAATTCTGTGCACAAACACTGCCTGCCAGCCAGGGCATACACAGCTCCAGACTGACTACAGCATGGGCTCTCTCCCACTCTGCAAGAGAGGGCTTTGGGAGCTGGGGTGGGTTAGGGGAAATGGAGGATAAATAAATGGAATTGTTCATTGAATCTGCTACGCACTGTCCATTCTCTCAGGAAATGTCTGTTACTTTTTAATGCAGCCACCCCTGGATTTATTCATTTGGATTGGAAGTTTTTCCTACCTATGCTTCCATGTTCCTTTTATGAGGATCCATACACACCTAAGTAATAGATGTAAACTGCCATGCCAAAATGTATAAAAAAGCTGCCCTAGAACAGGCTATATATTCTGCTCTGGTTTGAGTGCTATTCCTTAACCTATCCCAGACTCCCAAGTACAGCAGTGGTCTCTTCTTTCTTATACAGTCAGGAACAATAGCTTTCCTTTTTTGGAGTCTGTCTAGCATCACTCCTAATTGTGATGCGTGTCTGGTCCTAATTCTGGCACAACTATCAAAACAAGAGGACTTAAAAACTTTCCATGAGGCACAGGGCTCACCTGATTCTGAACACTGGAAACCTGATGTTCTGCATTTGTGACCCAGTCATATACAAGTGCTCCCCTTTCTCTAACAGAAAACTTCAAATAATGTGGACCTTAATACCAAAGATTGTGACTACACACCAGATAATATTCTCTATTTGGTGATGTTGCCACAGATCTTGGCCAGGACCTGTTTAAGCTCAACAACATATATTAATTGATTTGAGCTAGTTTGAAAAGGTGCCAGGCCAAACCAGCCGCCAAACAGCACTGAGCAGACAGGACATGGGAGTCTCGAAATGTTTCGAACAGCCTGCTCTGTAGAATTTTGTCAAGTATACATATGATGCCTACCAGCCCGGGGCCACCCAAGGAACATCTGCTCCCCTGGTATCCGGCAGAGATGATAATGCTATACAACATGGCATGCCAAAAAGCTCATCCTCTCTGTGAATTGATGCCAAACCAGGCTCCATGTGACATCAGTTTGTCCATCTCCAAAAAAACAGACTGTGAGCTCACAGACTCCATTTGCCTTCCGAATTATTTTGATGGGCTAGAAGCCTTAAAATATATAGTAGCAAAAAGGGGGGGAAAGGCATTTGAAGGAAAATGCCAGGGTTTCTCTTCAGTTGACTACTGTTACTGTTATAATAGTAGCACTATCAGTCCAGTGCCCCATTACACCAGGCATAGTATAGGCATGCTGTAACAATGGAACCCCATCAGAGTGTTTAAAGGGATTTTTAAAATGAGGTGTTGCATATTACATAGCTTCAATTTTTACACATCTGTATTTATGAACATACAGCAGATAAGATTCCAAACACGGGATGCCTTCAGTACTAGTCACACTATAACAATGCTGAGAAATTCACCAAAATATATTTTACCAAAATAATAACAGATACCAAGTGAACTTCAGGGTCAAGGAGAACCCAGGAAACCCTGATTTCACTATTATAAACAGCTGACTTCTCTCCCTGTTTGTTATGGACCTTTCTATTTCTTTCTCCCTATTTCCCTCAGGCTTTTATTCTACTCTCCCCTCATGCAATCACTCTTGTCTTCGCGTCTCTGTCAATTTACGTTCCTCAATTACTTTTCCCTCCTTTTCTTTGTCTGCCATCTCATTCATCTGCTGCTCTCCCCTCCATGCTATTGCCATGGCTTTCTATTAGAGCAGAAGGTACGATCCTTATTTTGTTAGTAGTCTACTTGTACGAGGTACTTCTGCAGCACAAATAATCCTCCACCTACAGAACACGAAGCAAACTTGCCTGATATTTTACCTGACTGTTCCAGAGAATCTTTTAACATATTTGTTTTTTTATTTATGTAAGCTATTTTGAAGTGGCCACTACTAACCCCCATTTTAATAACAGCACAAAAATATTAAGTAATGCCTGAATACTATTCACAATGCCTTAACATTAAAGCTAGAAGTAGAGCCCAGGTGGTTCCAAATCATTCTGAAGAAACTGAATTTTTGGAAAGTGCACACAGATTTCATAGTTAGCAACCTTCAGGTTGGACATACATTTAAATTTTAAGGTTTTCCATAAAGTCAAGCCTATATTCTAGGCAGAAGAACAGACATTATTAAAGGAAACACGTTTCAATGTTAACAGCTTCTTTGGATTGTTATGTGCTCTGAAAAGGCGGGTGGAAGGGACTGTAGGGTGACCAAAATTTTCACTTTGTGACCATAAACTGTAAACAGTGTTTGACGAATGATATATCACACTCCTGTATTTATGCAACAGCAGGGATCCAGATTTCGTCATATTATAAGCCTCAGCCAGAGCAGCAGTGGACATACAAGAGCAGCACAGGGCACGTCATGTTATTTTACCAGAAGTTGAGTAGTTTCCTCCCCTACTCCCTCCTCGACGTTACAACCGAAACATTTTTCCAGGCTCCTCCTGCTGCCCAAGACAACATGTCATGTTTAGTCACAATGCTGTAACTGAAAATATACAGCAAAGGCTTGCAAGAAAAGCCTACTCTCATTGGAAGCATAAATGTCCTTTAGTCTAGGCTTTACTGGGCTGGGTCTTTGATTTGTTATAAACCAAGGAGAGCAGTTCAGACTATTCCGTGGTGACCTCCGAACAAACAAAGAAGGGCATTTTCCTTTTGATGATGATCTGCAATTTCTGCCTCACTATTTTTATGTTAGACCCCTCTCTCAGCTGCAGGATTTGCATAACAAAACAAAACCACAGCCTAAGTAAGTATCCGTTGTGAAGTGATAGCACATAATGGCAAACACTTTTTAAATGACGATGTAAAGCCATAGGCAGGTATGTGATGACACTCACTGGTAGCAAGAGTGATTCTCAATCAAAGATATAATAAATTAAGCATTAATCAACACACTGGGAGACAGCAAAGTGCTCCAATGATGCTAATGACCATGTCGTGTGAAATGGCAGGTTTGCAGTATACAGTTAGCTTGGGTGGCATGAATTACAAGTTGTTTGCTACGGCCACCTCACAATAGTACTATTCAGTAGTGCACTGGTAACACAGTGATTGGCAGATCTTTGGAACAGTACGGTGCTGCAGCTGGATAATTCCAGCATATTCCTGGTTTAAGTACAATGAGAACATTGAATTCTAATTACGTCCCCCCTTCAGCGTCCTTTCCCTGGGCAGAATGAGCCAAAATCTATTTTCGTGTCTCTCCAGTGAAGTTACACAAGGCGTGAATTTGCCCATCTAGCTACACTGACGAATCTACCACTGCTATAACAACAACAAGATTTCTCATATTTATAGTTTCATTCACAATACTTCACAGACTCATTCAACACTGAGGGAGTATCATCCCTCTTCTTACAAAAGTGGTACAGATTTTGCAGAAGAACAAGTAATGAAACTGGAGATGGGAGTCAGGTAGCTGGATTCCCATTACCCTACATATCCAAAGCATGCTGCTGTCCCCACAGAATGTTGCCTCTGCACTGCAGCTGAGCACTGCCAGAAAAATGTCAGTTTTCAAGGGTACCCATGGCACCATGACGAAATCAGAGTCTGAACCCTGCATCTGCTGCCATGCAAAAATTCAGTAACACTTAATTTTCATGGAGGGCCAGCACTCATGGAAGTCAGCAGGTGTCCTTTTATTCACTTGCCTATACATTGGCTCAACCCTTTAAGGACTCAGAGTCATGTAGTCTTCTGAACCAGTTCTCGGGTGCAGCTATCACTTCTCAAGCACTGAATACTTGCATGCCCAACGGGTGTTTTTGAGATGCCTAAATAGTTGGCTGCTCATTAACTAGATAGTTTTCTAATCAGCATGTACATTGCTCAGAGGTGACTGCTGGTACAAAGAGGTAAAAATGGCTTCAAGAATGATGGTATATCTTGAAAGCATCATTTAAGCATTAGTGATGCGGAACACTGACTGACATGTTTCTCTCTCTCTGCCTCCACTGGACAGAATTTCAAATTCTTCAAAGAAAGAGCCAAGTTATTCATCAGTTGGATGCTGAAATACTTTTGGCTATGCTTCAGGAACATTTGACCTGCCAGAAAGCGATGATGGGAACCACTCATGTCCAAAGCCACAGAGTTTGAAGAGTTACACAGCCATAAGGTGTCTTTAGTATGTCTGCATTGTTTCTGACCCAAGACCTCCCTTCAAGATCAAGCATGCTGCTAGAGTTGATACCAAACCTGCAGTGTGACCTTGTGTATGGCTAGACTCTACCCTTCTGAGCACACAGACTAGCCCAACAGTTTAGTATGTTATCAGTAGGCAGTACTCACAGCTGCTCCAGAATCTCCTCTTTCACAATGCTATAACTAAGAGTCACCTATCAGTTTTCAGAAGAGAATAGACATTTCCTTTGTTAAATCTTCTTCATTAAAAAGTTTATGATCATTTTGTGGATCACGGTCCCAACTGTCTACTCTGTTAAAGTTTTCATGTTTTGTGTTACTATACCTCCATCTTCATTTATCCAGTAGAGAAACAGATTCATTGTTCCAACTTCAGTTATTTGGTGATCTTCCCCATAAAGCCACAAAACCTGCTGGCAGCCTAACTCCAGGGCTTCTTGCTGGGCATAAACAGAAGAACCATAATTCCTTCCAGAAACAAAAAGAAAGAGCAAATAGTTATGAGTATCTGATTGGGTATTTTCTCATTTCTATGCAAGGTTTTGTGCACATCTACCTTATGAGCAAGTGCTCTGCACAGTCACTGCTTGTCCCTGGACTATTTTCATTGGAAGTACTCTACTAGTATTTTACTAGGTCATTTGTATCTACAACCCAAAAAACTTTGAAGGGCTGAACAGCATCAACAGCTCAAACACATCAACCCAAATTGCCTTAGTAATACCTCTTGTTCCATTTTCTGGACATTCTAATCGTTGCAATTAGACACCTTAGGAAAGCATTTATCTTTATTTAGCAGTTGGCATCCTAGAGAAAGAGCAACAATTCCCATCCAGCTCATGATTTTAAAAACAGCAAAACAAAACCATCTACCTCATCTCACATATGTCAGATGAACAGATGGGTCATATATGTCAGATGAACCTCTTGGAACACAAAAATCACCAGAGGCAAGTTATTTCTTTTCTAGTGAAAGACATTTGCAGAACTAGTGGCTTCGGGAGCTGCAGATGGGCTTTGATGAATTCCATATCTTTGAGGAGCAACTGTTTTCCTAAAATGCTGCCTACAGAGTGAACCTGCCTGAATAGTAAGTGTTTACTCTGTAGCTGCTTTGAGTGGGGGGAAAAAAACCCTTTCGCTTCTGATGTTCAACAACCATCAAGACCCAAAGTCAGCAGCTCCAAAGTGCTGACCACACACTGGAGTTAAGTTCTCACCTCTGGGCACAAATCAAGTCAGCAGTGACTCCAGACTATTCCTTTTTTCACAGCTGACGTATGAAGGATGCACAGGAAACAATTAATATATTTCTAAAACTAAGCAAAAACTCACAAAGAAAGAATAGAGGTCTCAGAACATCAAACTGAATGAAGGAAAGCTGTTTTCTTGCCCTTTGATTATTCTACTAGCTCAGTGGAGCAGCACTTGACAACTGCTAACTTCCGGCCTAGAAAAGAAACTCCCAGGTAGAGACAATAAGCTTCATTTAAACCAAAGACCAAGGATGTATAATTGAGTCATTTATTTAGCCATATCCAAGTTGCTTGCTCCAGTCAAGTCCTAAGCAGCTTCACTCTACAAGTCAAGTACTTGGACATTAACAATTATGTTTCTACCTAACTAGTGTTTTGGCCGCCTTCAGCAGAAAACTGCCAGACTATGGTCAAGTCAATGCAGATAACTGTCTCATGATTTCCCTTAAACACCCATACTCCCCTAGCTAACTGCAGATGGCTTGTCAGGACAGTCTGCCAAGGAAGGAGGTCAGCAGTCAATGCTGCTCACTGCTCAGTTGGCAGCAGGCTGCTATACTGAATGCTGCATCACAGAAGTGGTATCTTTAGTGTCAACTTCTGCAAGGGAAACAGCCAAAGTATTACATGGACACCTTCCAGGTCCAGTTCCTCAGCTTGAGATGCTGCAAAATTGCCTCTGCAAATAATCCACTTGGCTGTAATATCCAATATCCAAAATATGCAACTGAATTGTATAAATAATATTTGCAAAGTACAATTTTGAAATCTTTGTTATAGTACATTGTTTAACTGCTACATTTAATACCTCTACTTCTGCTGGATTAGATACTTCACTAAAAAACAAATCTCCTTTGTGAGCTATGTAGAGGATGCAGAATTATGTTTTCTTACCCTCCCAGTTTGCAGTCCCCCGTTCCTCCTTTCCAGGCTCTTACATATTTTGGATCTGCCCATAAGGATATTGGATTAAAGCTTCCACTTGCGAAGTAAGGGCCCACAGGGCTCAGTATGACATACAGTAGGGCTTTAGTCGGCTTCTTCACTCCAAGGGAAGGCTGAAAATAAGGAATGTAAACAAATCAAAAGTTACTGGTATACTTCACTTCAAACATCAGATGCTGCACAATTAGCATTTGAAACACTGTTTTCAGAGGAACTGCAGCACAAGAGTGCTTTTACCAGGACAATGCAAAGTGCTGCAATGAAGACAAAATATTTATATAACTTCCCCCCTATCCAAGCAACATAACAACCCTAATTTTATATACTGTCATCATTCACTTACAGCTGTTTCATTTATCTATATATTATTCTAATCTTCTCAAATAGTTTCAAGCTTTTGAGAATTCAGAAATTAGCTTAACAAGATACTATATAATTATATGAATTAATCACAGCAGAAGCCTGCAAAGCCTTCTGGGGGTAGGAGTGGCAAGGACCACTGCTAGCAATAACAACAGTGGAGGAACCACTGTCAGCTGCATTAGTGATGAGAATTAGCCAATGCCACTTAGAAATGGCATTGGCAGAGTTGAGTGCTGGCTCTGTGAATGGCTGTGTGACAAGCTAAAACGGTTTGCCTGCTGGAAATGGTTCACACAACTCCACAGGAAATAACCTGGAATGTATCACTTTTTTTCTTCCCCCTCCTCTCTGAGAGATGGCTTCTCACACTTCAAGTCATCACCATCAATACTTGAAGGTGGAGGTGAAAAGTCTGGCACTGGTCAAAGTCTGAATCCTGTGGTAGGAGACTCTGCTTAACCATATGATTCTTTGCAAAGCTCAGGACTGACCACAGAATCACAGAACGATTGAGGTTGGAAGGCACCTCTGGAGATCACCTTGTTCAACCCACCTGCTCAAGCAGGGCTATGTACAGCTGGTTGCCCATGATTCTTGGATCTTCTATGCAACTGAATGGGTTACTATTTTCTCTCCACTCAGAGAGACCAGTCTCGTAAAAAGAACAAGCTCACCCTTGGTCTCTAAGATTAGGCCTCCATTGAAAAAAATGTTACTGAACTTAAATCTTTAGGACCAAAGGTCTAAACAAAACACTGTGCACAAAGCACGTGAAGCTATATTGGGAGGTGGGAGGGAAAATAATAGTGTAATAATGGAACTAGTGGAAAATTCAAATAAGCCTTCCTCAGGTGCTGAGAGGGTTCTTTTGATTTCTGTCTACCTTACTCCTTCAGCAAAACTTCTAACAAGATTAACTGAGATCTTGATATTTTTCCTGATTCTTACATGATCGTTCAAAAGATTGTGCTGACTGGGTTTCCTAATTGTGCTGATTCATAAAAGATTAGCAGGACACGCAACCCGGAAACAACATATGACATCGTGGAAAGGCCAGATATGTTGGCTAACCTGAAACAGAGCTCAACAGCAAAAGAACTTCCAGAAACAAAAACAGGGAAAAAAAATTCAATTTTTAACATTAATACTTTACAGTCACTGAGTGGAGATCTTTTCATCTGAAGATCTGCAACTAGTTTACAAGCATTAAATTAATGGAGTCGTAGAACACATGTGAAATGTATAATGCTCATGTATGGTAACTACTTACAGGTGTGGATATTGCAGAAGAGTAACTTGCCTAGTTGGAAACCATACATTCTTTTGCTTCCTTGTCCTATGCTCTACCATTATAGGTTTCTCTCTTGCCACTACTAAAAAAAAAAACCCCTTAAAGTTTTAATTCAAATAAACTCCCTGTGTATAATTCCCTTTATAAATACTATAGGCTTGACTCACACCCACAAGAAGCTCACAGAGTACACACCAATACCTAGTTGCTAAGGAGCCTCTGATAAGGTCAGGTTTATCTGGGTTCAAGAATAAATTGACACAATAATTTGTTCTCAGTTCTGTTAAAAGTCTCTCTCAGAAGAGCCATCTTAATTTACTGGGTAGAATCTTCCAAAATCTCCTCAGTAAGGTCAGGATGGAGATATGAGATGAAGTCACAAAATCTACGCAGCAAATTTCTGTTCCCTCACATTTTCTCCAGATTATTAGTATTTTAAAGGCACGTATTACCATGTCACAAATAACTATCCTTTTACCACAAAACCGAAGTTAATCTAAATTTTGCCATTACCATTCAGAATCGTTAATCGAAGTTTACGTTCTGTGGTCTGAATCAATGTGACCACTAGGTGGTGGTGTGGTCAACATAAATTTGTGAAGCAGAGCTACAGGTGACCGACTCAGGAGTAAAAACCTAAGAACAATTTGCCCCTGAACTGTAATACTGTTGTCTAGTGACTGCTGCATATTTCCCTTTATGGATGGAGGCTTTTGCCTTGTGCTTAAATACACAAAAGTGAAGAGGGGGAAAAAATGTTTCACACCTCAGTTCCAATTAAGGTAGGACGGATATACAGGCTGGCAGCGGTTGAGTATGGGACCCACTCCTTTTCCACTTCCACAAGCTTCCGAATGCACTCTAGCAGCTCATTCTGGTCAAAACACTGGAAAGGCAAAGCAAAGGGAGAAAAGCAAATGGAGAAATATAGCCTGAACGCTCTGTGATCTTTATGGATCCATATGCTAAGGAGAACACTTCATCTGGATACGTGACAGCCCACAGAGGTTCATAGGACTACACCATCTTCCTTGAGTTAATTTCTTACAGAATTTAAGATCCCATGGTCTTTGCCACGGTGCCTTTTTATACAGTACCCTGAATGCCCTCCTTCTGCTACAAAGTATCCTCCTAAGAGAGTAAAAAGGAGCCGTTGACCCTTCTTGCCTCCAAAGCCCATGGAGAGAACTCCCTGCGCAGCCAACACCTTCACTTTGGCATGCTGCAAGCTATGGCACCACCTCTTCTGCAGAGGAGTGCTTTGGGTTAAAACTCCAAGGGACCCACCAAGTCTCCCTGTTTTACAAAGTTCTTACAGTAACAGAGCTAATAAGTGTGGGAGGAATTTCACTGGCCAATATACAACTGCTAAAAGCAGTGTTAAGTTGCTAGCGTGACCAAAAATGAAGGCACTTGGAGGCTGAAGGACTTAACTGAAGTGGAAAGAAGAAAAGGAAGAACATTAGCACCAGAACAATTTCATCAGCTGTCTGCATGCGAATAGCTGCAGAACAGCACTCATCCCTCAGAAATAGACTGTGTACATCTGAGGCAGTAGGGAGACAACAAAGCAAGCAAAACACTGCTGTGATTTAAAAGAAAAATGCATTACAAACAGTTCCTTTCACTGAATAAGATCTCTTAACAAAGTTTAACTGAACTGTTCAAGAGTTAAAGTATTTGATGAATGTTACACTGCTGTAAAGTTTCAGAGGTTTGCACTCTGAAAATGAAAATACGCTCTGACTTAAGGAGAATAAGGTGTCTTGGCTACATACTGGCAGACTTGCTCGTCTTGCTGATCGCGCCATCCTGTCCATATTGAGGGTTGGCCGGAACAGGCGGATCTTGCCATCTACTCCTCGGTAAGCCTTCATTCCTTCAAACAACTACCAAGCCAAAAAGGAGGGAAAAGAAATCAAATAATAATTGAGACGTTATCCCATGATGATCTGTGCAAAAGCAGAACACACCCTTCGGAAATAAAAGAACTTCACTCTCCTGCTCACAGTACTCAAAGCATAAATGCTAACTAGTTAATCCTTGCAACACACTCCTGTGAGGTAGTATTATGAAGTTTATATTACAGAGACGACCTGCCTATGCTTCAGATATATCTTTCTCTGTCAGGGGACTTAATGATAACCATTTTTTTCATAATTTGGTTACAGCAATTAAAATTTGTAGCATGTGTTTGACTTAACCATTCCCTCACAACCTGACTGATACCTAAGGCTGAGCCAAAACAGTATTTTCCCTTACAGAAAAGATCTATAGAATTTAATCATATATGTTAATCATTTTTAGGGCTCTGTCCAAAATGCATTTTGGTAGGAAGCATAGAATAAAGTAATTAAAAGAACTCTGTTGTAGTTCTTGCTGTAGTTGTAGCAAAATCTTTGTCACTTATTTCCCCCATATATCCTTACGCTGTGGAAGGGGGTTTAGCTAGCATGAGAGACAGATGCATCAGCCTTACACTAGAGGAAGAATGCATGAAAATGTTTTATCTATACTTTACAGGAAACTTAAATTAGTCATAATTATCCCATCAAACTGCAGAATCCGGATGACAGGTGTTGACAATCAGTGTACCAGAAACCCTTATTCCACCAGTGCCCTCCTAGCAGAATGCTCTACAACATCTCCTAACCACAGCAAAAAACATATGCCAACAAAATATCCATAGTTATTTTCAGTTGATAATTTCCAGTTATAGTTATAGACAGAAAACACATGTACTATATAAGCTCACATTAATATATACAGGTATTATTTAGATTAAGTATTAAAGGATTACTTATGCTTATAGACAAGATTTCAGATTTTTAGAATTTATTTTCTAAAGCATTTCTTTGTACATCAAATTTCAGTATAAGTTCTATGAATTTAACTGCATCACTGCTGTCAGTCTCCGCAGACTTCTCCTCCTGACTGTTCCACAAAAAATGGCTTGAAATACATTCTATGTGGTTGAAGTCTACATATGCAGGTTTTTTATTTGGAAAAAAGAATCTTGTATTTGTGTATAAGTAATTTTAGTACAATACTCAAGGTTTCATTCTTACTAAATTCTATAACATTTTCCCATAAGGATCAGTGGAATGCAATGTTTAGAAAGCTTTTGTGCAGTCCCATGACAGAGCTAGGTCCTTCCACATGACAAATTTTAATTGGGTTGTAACTGGGTTGCAGGAATCCCGGCAATTTTCCTTAGGCTACATGCCAACTATGTAGCAGAACCAGAATTAGAACCCAGAACTTTTTGCCTTCAATGTTTATCTTATTCCTATGGCAATGCCAACCTTATTAAAAGCTTTGTATGCAGTTTTGCAAAAGAAACTGTTCCTAGGATAGACATTGTAGCTACAAGAAAAAAATTCTATCTTTAATAAAGGATGGCATAGCTGGTGATATGGCTGATACTTTGATACGATTTTTATTGGGCCAGTTACTAACTAATACCACATTTCTGTAATGGTACTTTCTTATCACAGAACAGTTGTTTCCCCCCACCCTTCTCCCAAACACAGTCACAGAACTTTTAATGAGAGGGAAGAGGAAGGAATGTTACTACTAAGATTTGATCGATAGTTTGTGAGAAATAAGAATCATATCATTACTGAAACACAAAGCCTTCTCAAGCTGTTAAATCTCTTTCTCCAAAAAGAAGTACTTTTAACCTTCCAGAGCTCAGTAGAACCTTTCACTCATTAAAAAAGGGAGACAGTGATGTGTTCCAGAAATGCTCAACTCGAATAAAAGCAACTGCTGTGGTTGCTTGATGTTTGGTTGCTACAGTGGTATGCAGACAATATTATCTGACATCTGTACATCACAGGAGCTGGATCTGGAGTTCAGCAGATCCAGACTATCACACTGCATCATGGAGGGCAAGGAGAAAGGGGAGGGAATGCCAAATTCATCATTTTTATTATACCCACTGTGTATTCATTGAGCCACAGCATTGGCACCAGATTCTCCTCTGTCTGTCCTCTTGGCTAGAGGAAACGTGATGCAATAAAGGTAAAAGAATGAAAAAAATGGGAAAAAAATAAGAGCATATTCATATTAGCAATGATTTCAGACTGGGCCAGAGGCCGAGCATTAAAGCAATATGCTACTAAGAGTGAAATATAGATTTGGGACTCCAGCGTGGTTTCTTACTTCTTGGGCAGATCAAGAGCTGCAGCCTTAGTCACAGGGGCCTGTTTTAATTTACACAGGACCTTTGGAGGCTTGGTGACTAGATGGGGAAAAAACAGCAACAACAAAAAATGGTGAAGACAGGAGCTCAGGGACAACAAGCAGGGAAAAGCGTGATCCTTCCCTTATACCAGTGGTGGAAAAAAAAAAAAAAAAGAAAAGAAAAGAAAAAAGAAAAGAAAAGAAATGAAACAATAAAAGAAGCACAAGCAACTCCACTAACTTCAGTGGAGGCACTCCCACCTACCCAGAAGTGGGAGGAGAAGCAGGCTTCCATTTCAGCATATATGCCCTACTGAGGCTCTCACACAGATGTGAGTATAGGCAAAGCTGCTCTGGAGACACAAAAGGCAGCTTTAGACAGTAAGCAGCTAAGCACGGAAACTGTTAACCACGCTGGTTTCCGACTTAACATTTCACTTTCCAAAGTTCCTTGCTGTATATTCTCTGCTTAAATACACTTCTATATGCTGAATGCATCAGATCTAGCTCGGAGCTCTCCAGACTTGTTCGGAGTTGCAAACAAGCATCTGTCTAGTCTGTCCTACAATCCAAGCTATGAACCTTTAAAACAGCTTAAAATAACTTTCACAAAGTACATGTTCAGTCCCCAAATTAAAGCTACTCTTGGAATCTCACACGGTCTTATCCAGTGCTTTATTAAGTTACATCAGAGACAGTAATTGGACCGATCCACCGTCAGTGAACTAGAATACTTTCTCAAATGAATTTGTCACCACACAAGAAAGGGCTCACCTTCACTAGGCTAGAAAGTTAAGTGAGCTGGAATCCAGGGGCCAGAATTGCTTCTGAGTTATACTAACATAAACATAACCCTGTTGTAAATAATGGAATTATTCTGGAAGGACATCAGTTAACAAAACAAAATGTAACTCAGTACTAATAAACTTAAGACCGTAATAGTCCTTGTATTACAAAGCTATGGCTTCAAGAGCTAATGAAACAAAATAGCAGTTTCCAAATCAATTCAATACTCACTTCTATAGCATAATGCAGAGATGAGGAGGCTGGATGCAATGAAAGGTTCTCAAGCGGCTTGATATAAGGTTTCTCCCATCCTGAAGCCAAGGACCATCCAATTGTCAGCATATTATCAGTGAACACAGTTCCAAATACCAAACCACTGGGGTCTGGTTTTTCCTTGAAAGTCGTAGCTGGGGTGATAATCAAGTCTGAAGCCTGAAGGAACATGAAGACAAAAATGAAGTGTATGAAAATAGTTAAGTCAGACTGATTTAAAAATTATTCTGCATCAGTGAACATGGACAAATGCAATATTTTATCTGCGGGGACATCTAATGACAGAATGGTTAAAGGTGTCTAACCTCTAAGTAGCTGGCAAAGTATTCATACTGTGTATGCACACATATACACAGTGCTGCTTATACCAAAAGTAGTTAGCATATTTTGAAGCACTGTTAAGTGGAGGAAGCAGTACAAGGTGTAAAAACAGAAAATTAGCAGATGAAAATTTCTTGGACATTTAGATCAACACATCTATACAAGTTCCAGAAACACCCAATTGCTGTACCTCAGAACGTACGCTGATCATCAGAAATTAATCCCCCTCATAACTAAGGAGATATGTTACGCTGATTTTCCTTTAATGCATAAAACCAATGTGAGGGATCAGAGCCAGCAGTCAGCAGATTACTTGGGTCACACTAGCTTGTTCATTCACATTCGTATTTTCCTAGAAAGAACCCATTAGCAAAGAAGGCTAAATGTTTCCCCGCATGATTAACTGTAGAGACTTTCCCTTAAAAGCCATGACTTGTAGCTCAAATGGTGCGAATCATCCTGAAGAACAGCAGGGGAAGAAGGAAAGCAGGATCTCTGGCACCTCACTCCCCTTTTATACACAGATAGAGGGCTAAACAACTAGAGAGGGCTATGAAGTGATCCACCCTCTCTATTCTCTTTCTATGCCATCTGAGCATTTAAACTGTGCTGGTCAGAGGCAAGGAAGAACGCAACAAAGAATTGTATTCAAAGCTCCTTTTTCCTTCCTAACATGACTCAGAAAGCACTGACCTTTATTACAGACCCCCAAGTGAAATCTTACTCCTCTACGTTTGGTACATATAGAATAGACTGGAACACAGGTAGTTCAGACTATTGTTCAAATAATTTGCACATACACTAAAAAGGCAGCTCTGCAAGAGATATCACTGACTTTGACTTCTCAGACTCAGCACACACTTTGCAAAATCAGAGAAAATTAGTCCCAAGCTTTTGAAAAAGAACACACGCACCCCTGCCTCTGTAAACAACCTGATTTTCAAGTTGTCTTTAATGAACAATGACCTATTTTTTATTGATTGGTTGGTTTTGGTTTTAGGGTTTTTTTGCTTAATGGCTTGGATATGAAATTAACTTAGAGCTGGAGCACATGAATAGCTAAAAGCTTGTTTCAAACTATCTCCAATTATAGGGCTTGTCTAGATATTACAGTGCATTAGCCTGGTTGAACTAATACATAATCTGATGAAACAACAATTACTCTTCTTAACTCTTTATAGTAGCCTTTATCCTACTGACAGTGAATGCTCCAATGGGAAAAGCACTACTTAACGATGTCCTGAAAATAAAAATGAATTTTACCTGACAACCTCTTATCATGCGCTTTGGAAAAAAAGATATTGTAGAAGAGCGTGGATCAAAACAAAAGCCACAAAGGAGTGTTTGCAATTATCCACAATGCAAGACTCAGCTCAGGAAAACACTTATGCAGGAGCAGGATGTCAATGGGGCTTAAGCAAGGATGTAGAACACAGTTATATCCTTGGCTTTATCTCTGGACAGAATCACAGCTTCTAAAGAACTACTACTGCCAGTGGTATTAACAGCTCTCCCTGAAGTCAAGGCTTCTGTCTCATCTCAGGTCATTTTCATTAAGGTAATTATCTTTACAATAAACTGGCCTGGGGACCAGAATTGTCATATGGAGTCTCATCCCCTAGAATTCCCATCAGTGTGTTCATTTCTGCTTTTATGCCTCAGTTTGACAGTTGTGGTAGCACAACTAGTTGAAAGGCAGCACTATAAAACAGTTTGCTAAGCTCATCGGGGTTGACAAATAGCTTTTACTTTAAGGATGGGGAAGGATTTTAACCTGGCTCTTCTCACAGGCCCACAAGCACATGTAGAGGGAGCCGCGAGCTGCAGCCACAAGTGAAGAAACACACTCGCTTGGGAGCATCTGGGCTTTCTTTGACCCAGTTTTGCCACCAAAGATATTTCTCCAGATTTGGAGACCTGGGGTTCAAGAGAGTGTTGGACAGAGTCTCTGTCATGTGAGTGATAATTTAATAAAACGATGCTGATCAAATACAAGCACTCTGTTATGCTCTAATTGTTAATACAAAGGGGGTCCCAGACCCAGAGTCACTCCTGTGCTGGCTCATTAGAGATAAGAGGTGGACCAAGTGCTCACTCCTGCAAGTTCAATAAAATGGGTACTCCTGTGTGATGGGCGGTCACACAGCAGTGACTATAGCTCAGAGCAGTAGCCCACGCTGCTTAGCTCTCAGCCCCAAGGATTGGGGACTTTCTGCAGTCACAAACAGAAATCACTGGACTAGATTTCAGGTTGAGTCACTTGAAGGCAGAAAGACTAGAGAGGAAGGTAGCTATGATGCTTATCCAGAAAAGAAGCAAATAGTTTCTGGACCACAGAGTTTCCTGGAGCTGCGCACTCTGAACAAGGAGCCCACCTGCTGTTTCTCACCTCCTTCAGCATTTAGGGAAACCAGCTTTCATTCAGGCATTTTGCAAACATCTGACTCAACAGTATCGGGTACAACACTTGACCCATACACCTCCATCAAACAACAGTAGGAACACCCTGCAGAAGACCTCAAATATAGGCTAAACTGCACAGACCAGTAGGGCAACAATCATTAAACAGGGAAAAAGGCAATTTACCTGATCCTTATAATCCTGTTAAGCTCTCAGGAGATGCATTTAAGATTTTTTTTGGCCATTGCTTTCTTAAGATCCTTTCTTAAGGCTCTTCTCTCTTACTCATTCTGTTGTATTTTTCTACCTCTTTTTACCAAGCAGTGAGTAGTGCAAGTTAACAGTGTGCAAAATCACCTGAATCGTTCAGAATCCCAATGCTTTTTATGTCAAGACACCATCAAGCACTGCAATACATTCAATCTTTTTTTTCCATGGAGAGGGATGCAGGGGGGGTGTTGGAGAACCCCTCCTTGGAGTACTCTCTCCCACAGTGTGGTCTGCAGCACAAAGTATTGCCAGCACCCTCAACCTCTTCTAGGTCCCTGAGTAGTAAGACCCCCTACACAACATCTCACCTGGGCCACAGACCCTTTTGGCTTAACCTGCCCCGAAGTCCTGTCCCAGCATTTTGTGGTGCTGTTCAAGCAGCACCAGCCAGAGGGAAACCAAACACTTAGAAGAACCCACACAAAGAGAGCAGAGCAAGGCCAGGTGACTAATACCAGGAGTATTGATTAAGTATCAATGCCTATTACTTTAATATCACTCATTAAAAAATTATCGCAGTGCTACCATGGTATCACCTATGACCTTTATAAATGGCAATTTATTTCTTTCCTTTGTCAACACTCCCCCAGCCCTGAAAGCAGCATATTAAGGATGCATTAAGGATTGGCATTAACACCCATCCAGATCTCCACTGTTTGTACTGCCAATACAAAGGGCAATTTCCAGCTACGTTTGTGTTTTGCTTGCTTTATCAACATGCTCTTAAGCACCTTCTGTCGCTGCTGCCTAATAAAACCATTAAACTGGAAGGAAAACCAGTAAATGCAGCAACAAGAAGGATATGGGAGATAAAGAAACAGATGTGGCACAGAGTTTATTGAGTGCAGCTATTCGGCCCCTGTTGCCTAAAGTAAAATGACAAAGACGTAGTTCCAGCCCTGCAAACTCTCCATGTCGCAGCAGTACAGTACGTACAAGATACATGTGCCTAGATCCCAGCCCAGGGCACTCCAGTAAGAAACAGGAAGAACCAGATTGCCCTGCCTATGGTAGGCAAAAGGGAACAGTGGGGAAGTCGCTGGATACTGTTGATTTTCAGGGCTTATACAGCAACACTACACCTACAGCCAGCCACTGTCTCGACCAGACGCACTTTTTTAAATAGCCTCTCATCTGAAAAGTGCCTGCTGATTCCAACACGACTTCTTCCAGAGCGAAGCTTTACCCAGACCAAGTAAAGAAGATATATTGTGACCTCCTGAACTAGAATTCACCATTTGATCAAAACAGATCTTGTCAATTATGAGCTAGGTCAAATTAAAGGCGAGGTGCTGCTCTGTGTCAATTTTAACCAAAGCTGTAGCAAGACATTCTGGTGCCCCTAGCCAAGATGTCAGTTTAACACTTACTCTACCCAGCCTTTGCAATAGCCTTAAGTGGATCTGGAGCTGACAGCAGCCTCTGGCCAGAGCTGTTACTCTCATTACTACATTCCTACCTTTCTCACCCTAGAGAGCTGTCTTGGGTAGCTGCAGATGGCAAGTGCATATTTTGTCCTACTCTTTTCATCAAGTTTTGCCAATGCCTTCCCAAATGATCCTTGGCTGCAGTTATTTTCACTGCACTGAAACTACTAGACCATAAGCAGTAGGTTGAGCAGCTGTAACAGGTGTAATTCATTTGACATACCCAAACTTTTCTAAACACTGTGCTGGGCCAAGCATTTCTATCGCTTACTTGAGTAAAAACAGAACTGGCAGCCTCAGCTGTAAAATAGCTTACAAGTTACCTAACTATAACAGCAAGTTTCAGCAGAGATCCTCAGAACGTCAACATCCACTCTGTGAGACTGACTGTAATCTATTCTGATGAAGTAAGTAACCTCCTTGACTTCTAGTCAAGGTGATTCATTCAAGATCACAAAGCAACTGCAATTATTATTTTTTATTACTTATGCTGAGTTTGTAAGCATATCCTAGGAAAGATCAGGGCCTTCTGATGCAACAACAGACATGGAAGCGTAGGCAAAATTGAGTAACTTATTTTGCCCTTGCACTTGTGAACAGCCAAACGTGGTTGCAGTAGCAGAGCAAATTTTGAGGAGACATTACAAAGAGCATGAGGAATTACTATAAAGGGTAAAGGTAACAAAGCGTAGTCGGGGGAGTTGGAGAGAATGAGGCTGGAACTAGACAGAATGGTTTTGA